ACTACCACCACTACCACCACCACCACCACCACAACAACAACAGCAAGTAGTCCAAGACCCGGTATCATCACAAGTAGAATGGCAGCGAAACAAACGAAAGCTTCTGTCCTCAAACTCTGTTGAACTCAGCTGGCTTGATTCAGGTCAACTGCGCTCACACCCTTTGTACACCGAACTGGCCTTGCCAAGCCTTCGCTCCACCTCTACGGCCGGTGCAGCGGCGGCACTTGCAAGACTCCATCTGGCCACCTCCGTCCATTGCGTCTCGGGTGCCTGGTTGCAGTGATGCAGTGATTTGAGGCCTCTGAGTCGTCTGCTCCAGGGCTGCGCCAGGGCCCACACTTTCTCCACCCTGGACTTCGGGAGCGAGGATTGGAGCTGGCTGCATAGAAAGCTAAACGGGTCCTAGGCAAGGGTCTCACTTCCCGATTCCAGCCAATGACTACAAGCTGCCTTCCGCGAGGCTGAGCTGAGGACATCAGGCCGTGATCTCCTGAAGCTTCAGTGAGGAGTTTCTGCAATCATCACAGAACCGGACTGGAGATCAGCAGTTTTCTGTACAGGCTCCAGCCACAGCAATTTTTGCGGCTGAGCTTCAGCAGGAGCCGGACAGAGTCAGCTAGCGCTTCCTCAATACCGTGGGCCGCCAAGTAGTTTAATGCAGACTCCTGCAAGTCACGGCAAGACTATTTGCCACAACACGCATTATTGTTGATCAGCAGAACATGCAATCGTTCAAGACATATTAGTAGTGTACCCTGAACGGGGATGGCATACGCCATTGCTTCTGGTATGGTCCTTACTTTCTTGCTCAGCTGCTCGCCGTCGGCTACTCTGGTCCTACCATGGCAATCATGAAGTTACGGCTACATTTTGCGGAGGCCTCCCCCCGTAGTGGACTTGCCTCTGCAGACTCTGTGGCTTGCGATCTTATTCTCAGCCTGGGCGGCTGAGAAGGACAACAAAGGACTGGAAACCAACGGGTTGCGGTTGGGCTCGATACCGCACTTGTTGAAGTGCTGGATCAGAGCCTTACATTGCACGTCCTTTTGAAGAGCTAGAGGGACTAGACCGCTTACTCAGAAACTAGGTCCCCGAACATGGTATGCTCACCTCGTCAGCGATCGTGTTGCACGGATCCACTGCGACTGAACATGATCCAACCTCATGCACGGAATTACTGCAGCCGTCATCTTTGCTGTTTCTGATTTGCCAAGGCAGTCTCATGGCGGTAGATGTCAATCTTGGCTTTCCTGCAAGCGATAAGTGAAACGTGCGCCGCACCGCCGCGCAGCCTGAGAGTCCGCAACTTTGTCCTTCTTCCATCTTGCTTGGGGAAGACGTAGCTGCTGGCTGACCTGAACGAGAGTCCCAGCAAAATCCCGTCCACCATCACAACAAGCAGCGAAGCCTGCTATCCAGTCGCCGCTGCTTCAGTGCTTCCCCAAGCCGCACGCCCACGAAGCAGCCCTTTGGCACCTGCTAAGATTCGTATGGATTCGGCACAAGGTCATGCAATAGGCTATCCAGCATACTGCAGCATGAGAAGGTCACATGTGACATTCTGCGGGCCTCCCACCCAGGCATTGCTTCAATTTGGACTTCCATGGCCTGCACGGTCTACATCAAAACAAAATCAACTCCACTCGTTATGGTGCGGTTGAAATGCTCGAAGGTGTTGCCTGCGCACGCTTGGCCAGGCTCAACTGGGTGCTGTGCAGCTGCGAGCCAGTACGGCAACCCGACGTCACCACATCTCATGCAAAAAGCTTTCTGATTTGATTTGGTCAAGCATTAGAATTACCAGAAGCATCATCCTCATTTCAGCAAACCAGGTTCAGGTTGTACAGTACAGTGTCCCCGTACTGTATATATATATATATCAGAAATCAAATATCATATGTGTTATATACATATAACATATACACATTTACATACATAGCTGGTGGACTGGCCGGCAAGGTAATCGCAAATCGCTGCCTGAAAATGGAGATAAAAGCAATGCGGGGCGCTGCAGACAATGGCGCCAACTCCCTGCTGCATTCTATTCTAGAATGAACCGAGTTGATCAGTTCTTGCTGTAATTGGTCGAAGTTTGGTCTTCAATTTCTGTTTTCGCCTTTATAGTAAGACGAACACAGCTGGAGGTTGCATCACAGAATGGAATTCGAGGAGGAGCACTGCTGCAACTACTACTGCTACTACGACTACGCTGCCGCTACCGCTAGTACCACCACTACCAGAACCAGAAGCAGAACCACTACCACTACCCCACTACCACTACTACCACTACTACTGCTGCTACTGCTGCTACTACTGCTGCTGGTACTGCTGGTGCTCCTGCTCTGCTACCGCTACGACCACTGCTGCAGCAGCCACTGCTGACACCACTGCTGCTGCTAGTAGGACTGCTCACTACAATGACGATTACATTTGCTAGCTGCTACACCTACACTACTGCCGCAACTGCTAGTACTACCTCTCCTCTTCCTCCTCCTGCTGCGGCGGTGTCTGCTGCTACTAATACTACTACCACTATAAGAAAACTTGTGTATTCTCAGTGTAACTTGCAGCTTTGTGTGAAACACGATCAGTAGCTGCACCAGTATTACTACACACAGCAAAAGCAATAGTATTGCTGCAGTCTGTCAAGGATTTTTGAACTGTGACAATGTTTGCGTATGTGCTTATCTGGACATGTCTGGACTTGAGCCAACGGAGCTGGCACGTGTGGAATCGGTGCACATCCCAAAATTCATGTCTGCCCTCTACAAAGCAAGAATGCAATCTTGCTCGATACACAGACCCCAAGAATGCGCCCCGTCAGCATAAGGCCCACCAAGACACTGCATTACCCTGCGTGTATACCGACAAGAGAGTCATGTTGGGTCAAGGGTGCAAGCAGCGGGGCGCCTGACTCTCGCTTGGCGGAAATGCCAAGGTCCTGAAATGAAAGTACTGGAACTTCTCATTACGCACTCAGGGGTTCGCAAAATAAACGACTCTTCTTTTCGGCTGCTCTAAATAACAGTTCTGGATCTTCCTTATCGTGGGGTTTTTGGGGAACCCAACATTTCAGCTGCCATTTGCGTCGGCCTGCCACCCTGACTCTGACATCTCTGACCCTTGTAGCTGCTGGCATCATCGCTCCCCTGCAAAGTGCGTCTGATTGTACTTGCAGAGCTGAGATTCAGGCCCAGAGTAGCTCAAATTCCACGCGGGTCCGAGGCAAATGCCGTGCCTGTTTGTCTTTCTCTCTTTCATTCACCCCAGTGCCGTGCAACCCCAACTTCAGAATTCTTTTGATGCTATATCAGCTAGAAAGCGATCTGTTGGCACAGAGGACAAGCTTTCGGATGCATCTGCTATGTTTGCCGCGACACAACGTGTGTAGTTCTTGTGACGGGTGTTTCTGACCAGGTGATAGAGACGTTCTTGAAGAGAGTTTGCATGTGGGAAGTGTGCAAAATCAATGGCCTTCGCAGACCATTAAGAATCACGGTTCGTGTACATTGACACTCTTGTTTATGTTGGCAATGTCTGGAGCATGTCCGGCCAAGCTTCACCTACTGCTAGGCAATCGTTTTGCTGGCTGTTGTGCGATGCCAGAAGCTAGTTTCAGCCAATTTGGGACCATTTTCCATGTACACAATCATGTAAGTGAGTTGGGGGATACTATTTTCTTACGTGCAGATTGCATCCTAGATATCCTGCATGCTGTCCCGTGCTGACGTACATAAACCCATGATGCTCAATCCTCCGGGCAATGATTTTGCACACTTCCCACATCTTGCCACAGAACAGAAGCGGGTCTCGAGCTACCACCCGCCACCCACTCACCCTGCACGTAAGAGAGCAGTTTCCCCGGCTACAATGGGGGACACACCCAAGCTTCAGGGAGTAGGGGCCTAATTAAGTACTCACCAGTAGCTATGCCGAGTTTTAGAGAGTATGAGAAAGGAGCCTGTGAGTTATTCAGGGATCTCGTTCTGAGGCGGATCCTCTTAATCCAAGCTTCATCGGGAGCTAGGAGGGACCCTTGCGAGCTCACTGGCATCCTGAAGTTAACACATGGCAGGTGCACTGCTGCAATGCAGGGGCACAGTTCTGGGCCAGAGTATCCTTGGCTAAGGGGCAGCGGCAAATAGTAAAATATGGTATATTCTATGGAAAAACAGTCCTACTACAAACCCATACTGGACGGTCTTGTGGTTTCTTTCCACCACCATGTTGCAGGCAAGCTACTTCAAATGCCTCCAAATTCCGACCCACCTCGAGCCAAAGGATCACCTGCCAAAAGCTGGTTCACAGCTTGACTCAGTAATCCAAAAATTGAAGTCTGGTCGTGGACACCAGACACCACACAGCAGAAATGGAAACCACATGAGCTATAGTCTAAACTCCTGGTATCCCCCTTAAAGGAGTTTAGACTATGGCTCACATGAAAGTATGTCTGGCGTGTAAGGGCCTGAAAAACCAGCCCCAAAAGCTGCACCGCCAGCCACCTTCGGTGCGCAAGGCAAGGCTTGAGGAATCTGTGGAAATTGCAACTCACATGCAGCTTAATGTCAATGAAGCACTCTGCGCACGCTCATTCTAGATTAATGATCGAATTCTTTTGAAGCTGTGTTGTTGCACATGCCCAGGGGCTCCAGCGCGAGTACCACTGGAGCCTTCAGGCGTCTTGGCCGGAAGTCGTCGCAGCAGAACGTGAATAGGCGGACCTGATACGCGGAGGCGGCACTGTCCCCAAGTTCTATGCGCACCCAGATCTCCCCAAAAAAGAATGCCTTCACCATCACACCCGCCAGCGCCATGGCTAGCAACAGCACTCACAACACTGGTGGTGCTGCAATGAAAGTGGCGAATAGAAATCTAGATGCAGCACAGTGCTAGCCACTCTCTGATGACTGGGAGGATCCAACGGATACCATCAGGTGGTGATGCACTGCACCTCGCTGTTAGACTGCCGCGACAACTTGGGTCTTGGCCGGATCCGTGTCTTCCGATGTTTCTAACCACCTAGCAAGGCTCGACACTTGGATTCGTGGAATCACGTTGTAGTTAGTTGAAACTGACTCAAACGCCAAGTTGAATCAAATTCTGGTTAACACCTGGTTGATCGTTCGTAGCCGGCTCTCTTGCTGACGCACTTAGTTAGTTTAAGTCAACGCCATTCCTCTCACGGTCGGCCTGAAGTGCAAGTCCGTGAGCATGAAAATGATCATCAAATTGATCACGACAACCACCATCATCATGATGCTTAAGTCCACTCTTGGCATTGAGCAAAGGCACCTTGCCCAGCTCTTCAGCCATCTCCCGGGGTCCTCCGCTGCTTTGGCCTCTGGCAGACTGTTGCAGCTGCATGTGGTGATAGCAACAAGTACGGCTAAGCAGCACTCAAGCCGCTGATAGAAATTAGTAGTAGTGAGCTGTGCAGAATGAAGGTAGTTGCTGCACAAGTGTTTAACATATTCAAGGCGTGGTGACGATGTCTCAGGCCAGCTCGGCACCGTAGAGGCTACCCCACCCTGACACGGGCAGAGATGGAGACTCATTGTGTCAAAAGCGCTTCTATTCAGCATATGGGCTGCCTTGCTCTTCATCTGCGGGCTCCTGTGAGAGAGCGTGGGAGGTCGACAACTCACATAATGGGTTCTGTCATGGACAGATCACATGATAGCGGGCCTTTTTTGCAGGACGCAGCTGCTTCCGCTCTGCACCCATACCAGGAACTGACAGCCTGCCACAAGCTGGCCAAAATATGCCAAAATACTCCTTTCCCTCGACTGCTTGTAGTCTGCCTGAAGCATCGCCCCCACGAAGTCTTGGACAGGTGGATGCCACGGCGCAAGAAGCAACTACAGGCTTGCTATAGTTGATGGATACTACCGAGAACCTGGACCGCTCATAAACAGAACGTCTTGCATAATTCGCGAAAATCCTTGAAGTATCCGCGCGTCATCCTGGCGGATCCTAGCTTGAGCTCAATCCAGCGGGTCTTCGGCTGTGGCTTGGACGATGCGCAGCTGAATGAAGAGCATTCACGCAAATCTCGAACCAGGCTTTGCTTTTTTCTTTGCAAGCTGCGGCAGCATAGGCGGCTCAATCACCTGAGGAAATCGGCATAGGGCAAGGAAAGAAACAACTCCAACCCATGTTCATGGCTCTAAGTCAGAAAATACCATGAACCAGTTTGGAGGGAAGGACGCGAAACATCAGCTGAGCAGCTCAGCCGTGGATTCTTTGACGGCTTGGGCCGCTCCGGAGGCCGGTCACCTGAAGTCTAACTCTCAAAGAAAAGCGCATCCAATGGCAGACTTCCGTCCAAGACACTCCGGCCATATCTACCTTTCCCAGGAGTATCCCAATCGTCCTGACACAAATCACACATTGTTCTGCTCCCACGAAGGCACATGTGGTATGTGCAAACCCTGTCCCGCGAGGGCGGCGCAGGCGGAGGAGGTGGCGGTGGCGGAAGCGGTGGTGCAGGTGGTGGCGGCGTGGCCCGCCCTGGCACTGGAGGCGGTGGCGGGGCAGCCTCGCGGCGCGGCGCGCGCCGCTCTGACCTCTCCTGACATGCTCAAATGGGTTTACGAGGGACCCGCCACAATCTGACTCTGCTGGCAAGGTGCTCTGTCGTGGTTGGGTCCATCAGACCAATCTTTAGACCAGTCCTGTGACCAGTCTTGAGACCAGCCATGGGACCAGTCGCCCTGAAGGCTCAAGAAGTCCGATGACAAGGCTCTATGAAGGTTGCTGGCCACCTCTCGAGATCTTCGGTTCCACTGCCCACTCGTCCATGATCGATCTCGCTGCACAGTCTCTTCGCTGGTTCTGCACAGACAAAACCTGCTTAGAATTTGTGATAAGTTCCTCTTCCAACTTGCGCATCTGCTGTCCTGTCGTAGCTGCGCGGAGCAGGCTTTGAGGGTGCCGAGCCACCTCCTCCAACAAGCTGGATACGAGATATCACGGGAAAGGATCGCAGTCGTGCTCTGATGATGCAGATGGGTCCCTCATGTCCCTCGCGGCTCCTTCTCCGCCCTGACTCCAATCGCCCCAGCCTTCCCATTGGTTGGTCTTGGCTTTCCAGGAAGGTGTTTCCTGTTTGGTCACATCAGGGCGATGTCCTCTCTTGGTGTCTGGATCCGTCCATACACCACCTGCGCCAAGGTGAACCTACTGCCAGCGATCTGCAGCGCAAGTGAACGTGTGCACATGCTCACGTTTGAAGCATTTGCAAGCAAGCCTGGATGGCTTCCCCGCGCTGCTGCTTCCAAAGCAGCTGCGCCTAAAGAGCTAAACTCCGGCTCTTCGCTCTCCGAATCCTCGCCATCTACCAAATCACCTGCAGCACAGGTCAACACAGCCGTCCAGGCTCGTCGAGGACTGCGGCTTCACTGCGGGTCTGCAGACGAGGTGCTATCCTCATCGCTACCCTCATCCCCCAACTGCTTTCGCAGCGCTGTCAGGTCAGCGCTATCGCAGAGAAACGAAGTCTCCTGTGTCAACTATGCATATTACGCTCGGAGCTACATTACCTGCTTTGCTCTCCTCCAAGCCAGTCGCGGCCAGCACGGCATCCCCAATGCCAGGAAGATCCTGGAACTCTGGCCCTTCGCAGGATGAACCACATGCTGAAAAGTGCCACGTCTAAGACAAGCTTCTGAATCCCAAGTATTGGTTTGAAGCCAGATTAGTTTGCCAAAGTTTGAGCCCAATGAGCCTGAACCAAAGCTGGAGCCTGATTGGTGGTCAATGAATTTGCATTCCGTGGTTTGCGTTTTGCGATTGTACCTACCATGCCAAGATAAACAGCTACCCCTCACTGTGAGTATGGCTTCCAATTTGTAGGCAATTGATGCCTGACATCTGAACGATCGGTTCAGCTGCCGTCTAGGATCCTCAATGCCAGCCAGCACTACGAAATAACTAGACAGCTGCTTGCCCAAAGTTGAAATAGAAGAGCTTAATTTCCACCCCCCCTCCCTCATGAAACTCCCCACTCCTTCTTGCAGAGCTCAGATGGCAAGATTAGATAGTGTGGCACGGAGATGGGGCCAAAGACGTCCACCTACAAGCCCAGGATCAATGTTGAGTGTACACACCACAAGCCAGGACCAAAGAACGTGCTACAAAGCTTCAGCTGGGCCACCACAGCGCCGAGGACGCGTCCATCTGCCAGGCAGACAATGGAGCCCAGATCTAAAGCCTGCATAGGCACAGCTTCTGTCTGCTTTGTAGCATTTTCATGTTGAGTGGGTACAGTATCACTTTGACAAGAAATGGGCTGTCCTTGCCATCCTCTTCGCCCTGCACGACGATCAGCTCGTTCACGACTGATCGCACCTTGCCTAGTGCTTCCCTTGACATGCTCGCCTCCAGCTTCTCAGGGAGGTGTGATACCTTTGCTGCGCCCAAAGCTCCTCTTATGATTGGGTTTACATTGGGATAATACTATAGTATATTGGGGTTTATATGGGATTAATGGAAAAGAAAATGGAAACCACTATAGTATATATTGTTGCCTGGACCTTGCCCTGCCGCCACGAAGCATTGATTACAGGAGCTCCCTCCTCATCTTCAGGAGCCGTTCGGGTGAAGGTCTGCTCCTGTGCGCCCTGCATGGTGCAACGTGGCGCAATACAACACAGGACCTGTCCACCCCTCCTCGCCATTCTTTGTGACTGGCTGCGGAGGTGCCGACTCCTGCGAATAGAATTAAAACTTGTCGTTTGATGCTCCAGCCTTTCTTGCGATGGACACTCTGGAACCTAGATGTTTTGGACTTTTCTGTCAAAGGTGCCCCTTCCTTGTTGGCGTCATCGTCGTCTTCCTCAGACGAGAAGGAACGCGCATTGCTGTGGCTGGAACGCGTCGGGGATAAACAAGCAAACACTCTCATTATCCCGAGATTCATCGTCGTCTCCCTGCGCTTCCGGCGCTTCACCGCCTTCTTGGCCTCCTTGGCCTTGGACTTCTTGCTCGGCAACCTGCAGAAGAAGGTATGGCATGGCCATGGCATTGCCTTTGCACGACCTTGGGCGGCTCAGCCGGAGCATCTGCAGCCTCAGTGTGCATAGCAAACCCCTCTGGCTTGACTAGATTGGTTCAGGCATGGCTTCGGAGTGAATGGGGGTGAGGAACTGAATCGCCACCAAGCTGCGGTCTCCTCATCCGTGCTCTGCAAATCGACTGCGGCCAGTGCCTCCGCAGATTTTTCCTGGCCAGGTCCCCAATCCTCTTCACCTGAGCATCCCAAAACATGAAATGCAAGATGCTGGCAACATCTTGCAACCCTGACAAAAACTCGTCAAGTGACCCACCGCGCACTGCGGCTCTAACTGCTCCGGCTCTGGAAGCGGCAACTTCGTCACTGCCTGCGTCCGTACTCCCTTCCACGTCTCAAACACTCACCGGATCTCACTGGTACTCACTGCATCTCACCGCAATATATTCGCCTCGGAGGCAGCGCGGCACGCATCGCGCACCTCTGCGGAGACCACTCCATCGAACTGGCTTGGCAGCTCACCGATCTTGGATGTGAGCCTGAGAGTAGGATGTCACACGAGGCCACTTGAATGGAGGCAACCAAGTCTGATCAAGCGGCTTGCTCGTCTCCTTCAGTAGCCGCAGCAGCTTCCTAGAGATTGGAAGAAGCCCATGTTTTCCAGATTTGCAGAATTCTCCACCACACTCAGTCAAGTCTCTGCACATCTTCAGCTGAAGGCGCTTTTCGCCGGGCCAAGGCGCCACTGCCTGCCAGGCCCAGGCGCGGAGCAGAACTTCTGGAAGGGGCATGCTCCAGTCATGCTAGGGATGCGCTGCAAGCTGTTCAATAGGTCAGTGCAAGGCTCCCGTTCCTCCTGCCTTCGTCCTGAAGGACTTGCTCGGCCAAGACCTCTTGCTGCGCAATGCGCTGGGCAACCAGCCTCGGGTCTGCGCGCTAGACAAGCAAATGACAACATAGGCCATGTTGGCAAAGCCTTTTAACACCTCCACCGAGCGGCATGTCATCCACCGCAGTCTCTCCGTCCTGGGTCCCAAAGTCCCAAAGGAATTTCCAGCCATGTGACAACATGCGCACTGGCATTTGGCCATGTCTATGGCCGACGGCCCGCTGCAACCGGGACACTATAACCAAGTCCTCATCCTCGTGCGTGCGAGCTTTCAGGAAGCACTTGTCAAGCACAGGAATTCTGCACAAGGCTGTCCCTACAGAAAGCTCTCCTCTCGGAGATGCTTTATTTGAAGCTCTGAGTCCTCAGCTGCAGCAGGCACTCGTACCGGTATGTGAATCCCGCCCCAGCATGTGCATGCCGTGGCTCGCTCTCGTCAGCTTCCCCGGCATCCCTCTTAGCCGCCTCGGCCATGGCAGGAGGCTCTGATCCTGGCATGCCTGCAGCTTTCATTTTCAAGCTGGCTCAGGTGGCATGCGTTTCATGCGTTTCGCAAGCTGTGCGTCATGTTGAGATATGTCGAGTTAGTTGGCTTCCGAAACAAGCCATGCCCTGGAGCCGGCTTGTCCACAGCGGGTGGCAAACATGCAAGCAAACGTGCATCGTGACGCATGAAGTTTCGGGGGCTTCGGCATGCACTTTGCAGGCATCAGAATGATCTTTGGCTGCAGGTCTTCTCAAACCGCTGCTCACATTAACGAGGTCTTTGCCCTGCTGGTCACGCTGTGTTCACAGATAGCAACCAGCAGTGCTCGAAAGCACAGTTCGCAAGCGCTGCTCGCTGCGCTGACATTAGCGAAGTCTCTCTACGCGCAATCCAGAAAATCATGCCAGCCCAAGCTGGCCATGCGCGGTCGCACACCATGCGCCAATAGGCCATCAAGCCAGGCTATGCTAAAACTCGTCCATGGCATCTAGGACAGAGTCTTGAGGGACCTTCTTTTTGCGGCGCCGTGATGACTTACCCTCCTCTTGTTCAGGAGGCTCACTTCCTGGCACCTCCTCGACCTCAGGCAAATCACCCTTTTCCTCTTCACCTTTCTTTCTCCGTCTTCTACGCGACTTAACTTGATCCTCCTGCTCTTGCATGTCTGCAGCAGGTGGATCTTGATCGGCAGGGTCGGGGGAAGGCTGGGGGTCATCTGCATCAGCTGCATTCTCCTCACCTTTCTTTCGGCGCCGCCTGCGTGCCTTTCCAGGCTCGTCTTGCTCAGGGGCTTCCGGAGGGTATGGCTCCACAACATCGGTAGGCGAGCAGGAGATCTCAGCAGGTGTCTCATCGACATTGCCATGACCCTCTTCACCTTTCTTTCTCCGTCTTCTACGCGACTTTTCTTGATCCTCCTGCTCTTGCATGTCTGCAGCAGGTGGATCTTGAACGGCAGGTTTGGGAGAAGGCTGCGGGTCATCTGCATCGGCTGCACCCTCCTCACCTTTCTTTCGGCGTCTCCTGCGTGCCTTTTCGGGCTCGTCTTGCCCAGGGGCTTCCGGAGGGTATGGCTCCACAACATCAGTGGGCGAGGGGGAAATCTCAGCAGGTGTCTCATCCACACTGCCATGGCCCTCTCCACCTTTCTTTTTCCTTCTGCGTGACTTACCTTGATCCTCTTGTTCTT